TTAGCAGGCTGGCTGTATAGCTGTATTTTGGCCAGTCATTGGCTGATTAAGCTACATTCCTCTTAGGGTTCAGTCATGTGAATATGAGACCTCTCTTAATGGATAGATATCCTGCAAGATCGATACCATTTGGCATAAGGTAATACAAAAATGTTATAGAACAATTTTTTGTATAAACGTTTCTATTAAGATTACTGTTAACTGTTACAGGTATCATGGAACCAAAAATAACACTATGGTGTAATAATATCCATTACATGTGAATTGAAAGGTGTACACTAATAATATATGGTATTATAGATCCCTTTCCTGGTTCTCAGGAGTGATGGATTTTGATGAATGAGATATGAAACCGTATTGAATTTCATGGAGAAGTGACAAATCCCGATCTCAAAACGCAAACAAATGTAGTAGAAGTCATTGGAAAAAATAGGAGATTTCAATATGCAGTCGACGGAACGATACGAGATAAATATTATTTAACGATTTCGACGGATTTATCAAGCCCGGTATAGATTCAAAGCAACTATACCGGGTCTTGCGGTTTAAGTCCAAAAATGTCATTTTTTTGGGATTTACCATAATTCTGAAGAAAGTCTCTTGGGCGTTATGGTAGTAATGGGATACTTATCACATATTTAGGCTTTAAAAATTAAAATATTTCTTTGGCAACTGTGACGAGTGTGTTAAGTGAATTTTTATGAGTACCAACAGGAAGCCAACTTTTTTCTATTTCTTTGTGTCTAATAGGCTAAGTTATGCGACTTTTACAGAAATGAGCATTTCTTTATGAATCATAGGTTGAAACACACTAAGCACAGGTGCCACAGATCTGTCATAATCTTCGAACTCAAAATCTTTTGAAACGATAATTGGACAATATAGAAAGAAGGAATTCGATACTTTTATTAATGAAAAATTCCAGTTATTGATATTTCCAATGTGAGGGAACTGCAAAGTCTCGAGCAAATACAAAATAATCCATTAATTTAAGCTCAGGAATAGTTTTGTATTATTGCTTAACTATTAAATTTAAGCAATATGTTTAATGGAGGAGCTAATTTCATATTATGTAAATTGTTAGTGTGTAAACAGCCGTGGCGGAATATGGAAGACTCGTAAGCATTTGTGTTGTATGGAATATCTTGGTATTATATTGTTACTATACAATATTATATTGCATTTACTATATGTTTCGTTGACGTAGCTTATATCTGGAATGCATTAGCGAGAAGGTTAGCTGGCTAATCTGACAGTTCTAAAGTATGCTTGATAATTAATAATTTCGTCAGAGCAATCACTATTTAAGGACCTGCCACCAATCTTGCAGAGAACATTGGAAAGCGGTAATGTGATTAAATTACAGAATGAAGATAAAACAAAAGTGAAAGCAAGGAGTGGACAAATGGAAGGTGAGGCAACGATCCCAGCTGCAATTACTATCTCACCCTGGTCAGGCATCTTATACCACACCCCCGGTGCGGATTACATTGTATGCCTACCATGGAACCACCCATCATTCTTCATTAGCATTCTCATTAACTAATAATTAGTTAATCTTTTGATAGAACTATTATTATTTAAACTGTTTACATAGTATTTCTGAAAAATATGTATGACCATGATGATGGCTGACTAGGCATGGGTGCCCATAATTTTTGTGAGGGGGTGGGTGAGGATTCGACTGGGTTAAGAAAAGCTTCAAACTAGGAGACAAGAGGACCACAGCAACTGTAATAGTATAAGACGTATGATTTTTAAATGTCTACTTCAGCTTTCACTGTTCCTGCGCCATCAACCTTGGGGGAGGGAGAGGGGCACCCCTGTGGTCAGAAAAGAAAAGTATTATAATATGTGGAATATATGTAGTAAGACAGAAAGTTCTGAGATCGATGATCATGATAAAGTTGTTGCTTAAAGAAAATACAGGATAATATAACAAGAGACCCATCTGATACATGTCGACTGTGCTGTGTGAAGTTAAGTGGTGGTTGCTAATAGCACTGATGGACCTACGGGAGGAGGACTTTCGGGCTGAAGCAAATCCTCCAAAACATATTTATTTTCATTGCTACGTATTTGGTTATGTTGGTGTCCATAACTTTTTTCCCTGTCCTTCAATTATTGTTTAAATTAAAAGTATTTTTTCATTCAAAAAGTATTGTAGTAATGCCAATTATGACAGTAAGTAGCAATTTTTAAATTCAATGGATGGTATGGAATTGCATCTTCATGAAACAGGAGAGGAACAACAGGCAGTTTTTTTGTAGCACACAGCAAAGAATATCAGATATGAATAATGCCGGAGAGTCCTTGGATTTTTCCCTCGCCCTAGTTTTCTGCAGACTCGGAACAAATTAAATAATAATAATATCAATATATTATATTGTCCTTAACTAACAGCCGACGTCAAAAAGATTTAAATTAAGAGAATAAAATGTTTTTGTCTAGTTTCAAAAATTTCCTTTGTTCGAGATCTTTCCTTATCCTCCTGATCGTCTAAAATTAAAAATCAAGATTTTCGAATAAAATAAAATGCATTTTAACTTCTATATTACGTACAATAGTATTTGACTAGATATGTACGATAAAATTACATTAAATTCAAATTAAAAATACATAATTTTTCAAAAACTGTGACTAAACATTTAGGCGTATTAATAAAAAAAATAAGTTAAAATTGGTTATGTAATTAATTTCACTATTATTTTGACGTGATTTTTTTCTTACTTATATTTCTACGTTATAGTGTATTGTGTCTGAGGGGTACAACCGCTATTTGTTAAAAAAAAACTAACCAAACCAAACCAAAGATACATCGGACTGAACCCATAACATTATGTTATTATAAAATAAATTAATATTTTTAATAATATAATCCTTCAATGTTTAACGAATTTGGCTCTAACTAAAGAATCGCCTAATTTTATTGCAAACAAATGCAGTAAATAAATAATTTAAAAAAGCCGAACGATAAACTGAGAGCTTCTCAATTATAATTATTTTTTTTTTAACTATATGAATATAACCTAAAAAGATATATGCATATAAAATATTTGAATTCCTTAAATCCTGAAATATGTTAAGAGACGAAATCGAAAAGAGGACATAGGGCCAAAAAACGCGGAGGAATCCCCAATATGGCCGACCGCGGTCCCAGATAAAATCTTTATTACAATAGAACCTTGAGAGGTTATCGAGTAAGGCTTATCTTATGTTGAACATCTGGTTTTAGCCTTGTTTACGTCCGGCACCAATCGTTAACAACTCTTCAAATGGCGTCTTCTGAAGGAGTCTTCTTATTAACATTTGTTAGGAGGGGGTAAAGAAAAAAGTTGGTAGAGACGAAACGGAAATAAAAAAAATAAATCAGAAACTAAAAGTGACAGATCTGAGGGAGGTTTCTTAAGTCTTAAATATTAATGAAAACAAGGCGGGTTTAAAGGTACAACATTAGTGAAACTAGTTCATAACCTAAAAGAAGAAAGCTCTACACATTTATTAAAAGTCATTGCTGAGTAACGTGACCACGTGTCATAAATTCTATAGCACTGCTGTTTAAATTTAGAACGCAAACCATGTAGCCTTCAGTGCAGACATTTAGAGTTATTTCACTGCGACACATCTGAACACCAACAACCTTTATACCTGGGACTGAAAATAAAAATATTAAAGAAACGGATACGTTTCTCTCAATGAAATATGTTGTTTCAGCTAACTGAAGTCCGTCCTAGTGTGCTTTATAATATGATAACCTTCAGGGATGCCCATCCCCCTCAAGGTCGATCGCGCGAAAACTTAACCCATCCCTAATTTTATTGCTCGTCTTTTCTTAAAACCAGAGAAAGCGAAGTTAGAATAAAATAAATAGTAGATCATATACAATTACACATGCTGCTGTCCATTCCAAAATGTTACCTTGTATCTTAATCTGAAATTTTTCATTCTGAAAATTCATAACCCCATCAAAATGTGCTTTCCCTCAAAAATTCAATACCCATCAAAATATACCTTCCCCCCCCCTCAAAAACTTTAATGGCACAACTTGCGCTATCAAACCCCCTTCTTCTTTCAGGGCACCCTTGATAAATTTCAAAGTCTGTGGAGACGGACTTGTAACTACTGAATCTGTATCTTAAATTTTAAAACGGAGAGCCAAGTCTTTTCAAGCAGTTTCAATCGATTCAGAATAATTTCTCAATTTGTAAAATGAATTTATTATTCAAACTTTCAAGGAGCTATTATGGAAATTAAAACCACACTTATTATCTAATAAGTGTGAAAATAACCATGCTTATTTTCTAAAATTTATTTTTTCTAAAAAGGTTTTTCTCTATTTCCATAGATTCTTTTCAGTTTTCACCACTCTGTCGTTCCATACGATAGCGTTTTAAGCCCAATCCTCTATTCTCAATGTACTTCTCAATTCACAGATCGCCCTTCCACCAAAATCTTCACTTTCGTTGGCGATACAGCAGTACTATCTTCCTATACCAATCCGAAATTAGCATCTATCGCTATTCAGATTTATTTGACAACAAAAAGAGGTTATATAAATGAACAAATCAAATCTAACAAGTGTCTCACCCCGAAAAAAAGTCATGTCTATCTACAACCATCGACAACAACGCAGTGCCTACAAAAAATTATGTACGGTACCGTCCGTGAGACAAAAGACTTACTTGAAACATACATACAAAATTTAAAAGACTAAAAAGGATTGATCAGACGATATAATCAACTATCACATCTTCTGGACTACAGATCCTCACTTAACTTGAAAAACATGTGGATGATCTACAACACTATAGTGGCACTGATTTGGAAATACGGAACAGAACTTCGAACTATTTTGTACCACCGATATGATATATTTCAAATAAAACTATAAGATACATATTGACTTAAACATTTCAACAGTAAAATCTTACCTGCACGACAGATGATTTAAAATGTTAATCCTTTTGTTTGTACTTCATTAACCATGCGATTTTTTTTAGGAGAGAACGGGCGGGTGGAATACAACATCATCGCAGGAGATGAAGACTCGGCCTTCGAAGTGGACATCGACAACGGGACATTGAGGACTAGGAGACCTCTGGACAGGGAGACCAAGCCGGTCTACAACTTGGTTGTCATGGCAACAGACCAAGCTAAGCTGGCGCACCACAGGCTATCATCAACCGTTCAGGTAAACTTTTTCTTTATGTCAATATAATAATTTAAACTAAAAATTATATTTTAAATTATTAAAAAGTTGCATTGATCTACTTCATTTTTTTAAAGTTCACCTACTAATCGGTTAGAAGGTTTTTAAACTACAGTTGAGGCCGTACACACAGCCAATGATTACATGTTCAGCAAGTCTAGAAGCGTAATTTTTATGAGGGACTAGCACTTATTAAATTAAATAAGCTCGATGGGCTTCCAGGCTTTTATTATTATTGTATCATTCTAGTAAAAATAATTTTCACGAAAAAATATTTTTTCTTTCAAAGTAAAAGTTAATTGTTATTTAATTTATTTTTTTAAATTATTATTATTCCCCATGTTTAAGAAATGATATAGCTTGATTTTTGGTCTTTTATCTTTTATGAGGTTTTATTTTTTAAGAATGTACTTGACCCAATTTGCATAATTATTTTGTAAAAAAACGTAGTAGATTGAAGTATTTTGCGAAATCCTAATAAATGTACAACTCGAGATTTAGCGTCGTTTATTGTTAAGCTCATTTCTCAGGACATCAAATATTCTGGTAAATATCATATTTAAATTGAAAATTTTTTTTAATATATACAATATATTGTATATATTGTATATATTTAATATATACAATATGTTATGTACGTAAAATATGTTGCTCTCCTACTTAATTACTTAATTAATAATAATACTTAATTCTTACAGTGATTTTTATTAAGAAAATAAATACTACTAAATATTTGTATGTTTCTTCTGATAAATTAAATTAAAAAAAAAAACAGTAAGTACTTACATTAATTACATAATTTCAAAAAATTAAGTATGTATGCATATGATATCAACATTTTAAATATATATTCTGCATAAATTTATCTATTAACGTCCAGTCAGTTATGTCAGAAATAATTGTTGACAACCTAATCTTTCATTTTATTTATAACTATTTTTTTCTTTATTGAATTTACTAAGCTTGCTTTATCAGTGAAAAACTACTAGCTCTTCAGATGAGGTCTGTAGGAAAAAGCTGAATTCAATTGTGATACTATTAATACTCCCAACAAACAACATTTAAAATAGTGGAATGGAATGAAAAGGTTAAAACCTTTCCCATGAGTTTAATATTACTTATGATTAGATAGCTCCCTATTAGCAAGCCGATGAGTTTATTTTCCATCGGTGTGCGGAATTATAAATGGCTCATAGAATTCGTCGCCGTATTCCAACGAGGTGGAACTTTATTGCTAATAAATAACAGGTTCCCTGCATTATCCTCTACGGAGCTGGCCAGTTCCTACGGCGTATAAGTTAACAATTTTAAAAGAGATGATTTAAAATCAATGTTATATGCATCCCTTCCTCCGGAAAGGGGAAACCACATGTTAATGGATTTGCGGCAGTTGAGGAATATCCTCAGTGCTGAGGTTAGTTGATATAAAGAAGCGTGATGTACTATCACTCCAGGTAAAATAGTACGGTTATTAAACACCGACTGCCAGTCCCCTAATACATACAAATATGTCTCTATAGCCACCTTCTGTGACGAGGCATAAATTAGATCTGATGTAGGATTATAAGAAATTTATTTATAAGTGATTTCTGCCACAGCTTAGTGGATAAATCGCTTTATAACTTGATTACTTCGAACAAAACACTCTCCACTCCTTTCATGCTACATGTACGCCATATCCCAAAGAGTTATATGCTTGAATCATGTCCGGATTTCGAACCCAATGTCAATTGATCCAAGTCATGTTATGAATCAGATTTTGTCTGTATCCTTTAAACCTTTTTACGAGTTGTATATTTTAAAGTACTTAGAAAATTTGTCGCTATGCCAACTTTGTTACATAAACCCTATCATCAATAGGTTGAAATGTACATAAGGATTAAAAGTGTAAAACATAAAATGGAGAATCATACCAGCAACAGCCTGTTAAATCTACCATTTGCTTTAGATAACTACGGTTTTAGAAATGCAGGACGTAAAAATGTGAGAAAAAAGAGGAAAAGACTCCAGGAATATAGTTTTGAAAGCCTCATGATGATAGGTAAAACACACCTATTTTTTTAACTTGGTGTCATCCTCATTTTGAATATTGCAAAAAAAAAAATTAATACCGAAGAAAGTAGATCAATACAATACGAACTGATGAATTGAAGTCTAAATGAAGTAGTGCTCTACGTTTAGCAACATAATGAGAAGCAATCAAGGAAATCTAGCCAAAAAAAAAAACTTACACCTTCAGTGATGGAGGCAAGTGAATGGTATTTCCGATTCCGATAAACCTAGTTTAAGCTTACTTAAAAAAACAAGTACCTCCTAGATATTGAATCATCAGTTTAAAATGTTTTTTACATGTAAAAAGATCGTTAAAAATAATTCTTAAATCGATAATCGGAAGGAAATTGGAGAAAGATGCCATAAGACGTTAGCTTAGAGGCTATGGGTATGACTAGTAAAGGAATTGAAGAAGGAAACTGAGAATGAAAGGAAATAATGTAAGAAATTCGATTTAGTTAAAAAAGTTGTTAGATAATTTATTTAAAATAGTAAAACGTTTAAGAGATACTAGCACAGAATAACTTAGAATCAACTACATCCATTCCTGAGACTTACTATTATAATTATTTGGAAAATTATTGAGCGCATTTTCCTTCAATCCCTTAATAACACTAAATAACTGAACTACGCCACAATATTAATTTTTTAGAACAAACTTTTGCCAGCATAATTATTGTTTTATTGAGAATTATCGGTTTAGTAATAAAAACACACATTTGCCTACAACAAAGAAAGAAGTCTTCTAAAATTAGTTTTGATAAAATTGTCAAATCCGAAAGTCGAGGTATTCGTAATTAACAAACTCCACTATACATTGCATGTCCAATCGACTTTTGAGTACTCAATATCTTTAAAACTGTATCGTTAGGATCCTATCAAATATAAAACATATTTTAAAAAATGTTTTGTGTACGATTATTCTAAAATAATGCTCCTAACGGGTAAAGTTGAAAGGAAGTCATAAAATAAAACCTGTTTTCTGATAAGAAGCGATAAGGACCAACTGTTCTGAAAATCCAACACTTGAGACATTTCTAAAGTTCAGTCAGAGCGTTGATTTCATTTCCACTATACTGTATGCTTGATATCCTAGAGAAATAAAAGAATGATAATTTTCGAATTACGAGTGCAAACTTTCGAAAAGATGGTAAAGATCGAATCGACCGCAAGAATTTATTGTGGAATCTGTGGCTTGAAGGGATGGATGGACATTGAGTAATCTATGGAACTGTTTTCACTCGACAGATTATATCACTCAACTGTCTCGATACAGTTTCTTCTTGCGATACTTCCTGTACTCTGTTAAAGTTGAAGATAGCTCTTAGCTTCCCTTCACTATTTGACATAATGCGTCCCACATAAGTTTGTATTTTATCATGAACCGTCATTGACCCCAGCCTTTGTTCACGCGAGCAACTTTGACTCGAAAAAAGAAAAAGTACTACAAGATAGACAAATAATTATGAATATCACTTATTATTTGCTACCTGTTAGGACTTGGAATAAACAAGTCACAACGAAATTTTGTTTGAATATAGCACATCTAATCTTTTTTTGTGTGTGTTTAGGGCTAAAGTTTCCCGCTTTATATTAGAATAGAGATTTTTAAAACATTTTTCACAGTTCCTGCGTTTTTCCCAGTAAAATAAACTAACTTATTATTTTTTTTTTTTTTGGAGAACTCTCTACTCACATTTTTTTTTTTTTTTTTTTTTTTTTTTTTTTTTTTTTTTTTTTTTTTTTTTTTTTTTTATGGGATAAGGGATTATTAGCTCTATAACCAACCCTCAATATGGAGAACCAGGAGCTACAAAGTGATCGTTCACCTTCCTATGAATCTCTGAGTGGTTCTGATAAAAATAGAAGTCATAATTTTATTTCGAGGTTATTGAAAATCAATGTTCGATGTAAAGGTTTACGAATTTATATAAAACGTGGTGAAAATACACCATTATTTCATTACATTGATATGAAATCTTTATCAGGTTAATAAAGGCTTAGTAAATCAAACATTTAAAAAAAATATATATTTAAGGCATGTTTTATTGATTTCTGCCGTGACGTTAGAACGATAAATAAGAACCATTGATTTTTCAATGATGAGTGTACAATAAAAAGAAAATAGATATAATTCTGTATAAATTGAACAAAACACTACTAAATATTCTTTTAATAAAGCTGTATATTATTCTACTATTGATATTATAAAAGATCGTAATTAAAAAAAAAATACGCCCAACACAAATTTATCATAAAAATTCTTAATATGTCAAACGATTGATAACCAGAATTTTACGACTAAGAACTCTCTAATCCTAAGTACACAAACTCAAACAATAGACTGAAGAATCGCCTGTATGAAAGCATAAGAGGACGAGGTGTTAGTGAGCTTGGGGAGTTAGTTAGCACTTGAGTACAGAGAGGTTAGCTAATTAGGGGCCGTCTTGTTCAACAGCCATTGTCCTCGCCAGCGAGCTGTTCTCATCCAACAGGATGAAGGAGGATGTTATAGAGAATGCACAAGTGCTAAACCTTTTTGTCATCTCCCAAGTGACAATAAATACCCAACATAACCTTTGTTTTTTCTACTGCTAATAGCTTCGCCTAATGGAGACCATATGGCACGATTAATTTTGCATGCTGCATACAAATATACTGCTAATGCAAGAAATTACAAAATCACCCAAGGCACGATTTCAGTCAAGGCAATATCTAATTTATAACTTTTGATGGTACTAGTTCTCTTTCGCTATTCGAAGATGGTGCCCAGTTTCAAGATCACTCAGAGGAAACTACTCCTAGATTAACTAAAATATACGAACATAGCCGAAAGAAGACGGAGTCCAACGATCCCTAACTCCTGCTTGTAAATTATCCGCCATTTTAAGGGTGCAATTCCTAATCAATTATAATACTCTTTAATAATTATTAAAAAATTGAAATAAATATAATTATTTGGATTTCGAACTTATATAGGATTATTAACTGAGAATATCAATAATTATGATGCTATGGGCTTTCGCAGTGATCAAAACTTCCTCTTTATCATATTAGGTTATTATGCGCATTGTTTTTATACATATTTTATTTTGAAAAACATTTTATTCCTTCGGTATCTATCAGAGAGGTTAAGGAATTTCAATTTAATATTAATTTTTAAATTGAAATAATACTTTTATAATTTAACCAGAAGATTAGTTGTTCATTATTGAAAGATAATCATACCCAAAGCTTTATCAGTTTATAAACTAGTAAGAAAAAGACACCCAAGTAGAGTACATGTAGATTCCTCACAACTTTTATTGGTAGCATTTTTAGCTATGCTTCAAAGTCTATAATTTGTTGTTTCAGATTTAAAAATCAGAACAAACCCATTTTAAAGTATTATAGTGTATGATTAAGGGCAAAATCTAATAAAATCGATAAGGATCTAATAAAAAAGATAATACGAGTTTTGGTGGGGATAGCGTAATATATCAAGCTGTCTCAGTCATAAAAGTTCATGAAGTTCCGGAAGACCTCTGCCCTTTAGGGATCCCTTCATCCCTTGCTCAGGCTCCTCTGAAATCTTCTACCCACATACGAACTCTTCGATACTTTGATGAGAAGAGGGAAATCAGTTTTAAAGAGAACTTAGATGACTGTCTTCCTCAGTAGCGTGTAGTAACATGGACAATACAGGTATCAACCCTCCTGAGTTCACAATTCCTGAAAAACGTAAGTAGGTTTGATATCAAGCATTCATAGGCATTCCAATAAAGAACAATGTTGAATTTAAAAACTTGTGTAAACTCCCATATCTTCATATGTTTACTTCCGACCAGAGTTACCAGGCTTGACAATTACCCAAGACTATAAGATACTTCCTTCCATTGGCCATTGTCACCATCCAAGTTGACAATGGATGATGTATTGAATTGCTATGTATTTGTTTTTACAATTACTAATTAAATGCTATGTTTCTTATTTCCAGGTGAGCGTGGTGGTGAAAGACGTGAACGACGAGTGGCCCGAATTTGTTTCGCCGAAGACGGCAGGGGTCGGGGAGAACTCGGCGGCGGGCACGGTGGTGCTGGCCGTGAAGGCGGTGGACAAGGACGAAGGAAGGAACGGCTACGTGGAGTACCGGCTGAGCGGGGAGGGCGCACCCACCTTCACCCTCGGGCCGGTGGACGGCCTCCTGCGGGTGGCGGGCCCCCTGGACAGGGAGCGAAGGGCCAACTACAGCCTCGAGGTGACCGCTCGGGACAGGGGAGAGCCCTCCAAGGACAACAAGCAATCCCTCCTCATCACTGTCTTGGACATGAACGACAACGCGCCTGTCTTCGACCCCAAGCAGTACTCGGCTTCGGTACCAGAGAACGCCAGCATCGGAGCGAGTGTTCTGCAGGTGAGAATAGCATTTATTAAACAAGTTTTTGAGTTATCCTAGTTAGAAGACTAATCACTAATCATAATTGTACGCCTACTGTCCATAAATATTTACATAAATCACCTAAAACCAATTGAAAATAACATTCATCGACAGTGTATTGGGATATCAAAGACTGGATTAGCCTCCTATGCAAAATTACCAATTGGATCATGTACCAGCTTTTGGATCATAGTGTTTTGTTTAAGATCGAGATATCTTCTCAAATGTCAAACATTTAGAGGCGGGAGGCCAAATTCATATGGAGCTTTCAACTTTTGACGAGGGTGCATTTTAATGGAGTTATAATTTTTTTTTTTTTTTTATTGAAAAATATTACATTCTGTCTCAAAGGACATTTATAATTTATTAACACATATCTATATTTACAATTTGGCGAGTGAACTCCGAGCCAGACTTGTCCCTCCAACTGTGGAGGGAAAAGCATGACTCCTGGAGACCCCTGCACTTCTCTCTCAACCGCCTCACTGGGGCTAAATCCAGTGGAGTATAATTTTTGAATTATTTTTGTGGTCCATTTTTAAAAAAAATTTTAAGTGGGGAAGAAGCGGCGAAAATATGGAACAGAGAGAGCTTACGTTATTGCACATTACTTACAATTTTTCCAAATCTATTTTCTATTATTCCTAGTATTTTTCCAAAAACATTTTTAAGAAGAAAAGAATAATAAAATTTCTTGCGCAATCAATCAACTGAATTTAAGCCAGAAACTAGGAACAAGACTTTAAATAAGGTCAGCAAGAAGGGATTTCCTTCTACATGAAACATAATACAGCCTGAAAATAGAAAATGCAATTATAGTGAAGAGATATTAGAATTGTCTAGATGCAAATAGGTTCGCCTGCATGCCTACTTTCCCTCCATAAAACCACCTACGTTGCATTACTAACGGCTTAGAACTTTTTATAGGTGTAAATCTTAAACTTGTCCTCATTCTTATCAGATTCCTCATTCAGTATTCTTGTAACATGTTGAAAATTGTAGATACTTCATTAATTTTAATTAATTTTCTGATACCTTCTGTAGCCTAAATAACTTGAAATATGCAATAGACAACTGGAGACGGTTGAATGATTTTACGACTTAGAGTAAAATGTAGATGGACTGTTTCAACCAGGAGAAGTGGTGGAACATGATACTGAACGCAGGTTCCCCGGGTTAGGGACAAGAAATCCGATGCCTACTCCTGTACACATTCCAGGTCCTTGCCTTACAAGTCAAATGAACGATGGCTGAACGGCTTTCGATCACATCGCAATGTTCCGCCTGAGAAAGCAACAGATACCATTCAGCGGTTTTTAATTATTTTATAATATTTGTGGTTTTTTAAACATTTCTTAATCCATTTGATTGAACATGCTTCTGAAATGGTTCTTTTTTTATGAATTGTGCACTAAACCTGTAGGAACTAGTAACATGTAGGAAAACATTAACTAAGAAATATCATTGTATAAAAACAAATAAAAATCTAATTATTTTCGGTAGTATAATAAAAACATATATTACATTAAAAAAATAATACTCAATAGCTATGAGAAACCCACTTATAGCCTAAATAATTTATTGTAACATTCATTTTTAATTTTATATACGCTTAGTCCCTAGATGTTATCACGAAGTATAGCTGATATCCAACCCTTCCCAGTCTTGGGTACCGAGTATTTTACTCAAATTGAATCACTATTAAGAATTCAATCACTAATTCAGTTAATCAGTTAATAATACTTTAAATGGAGTATTGATTCTTTGATAATTAAAAAAAAGTCACTATTTGTGTAAAATACTTGTTACTCAGTACTCAGAGCAGCCCTTTGTCCTTCTCTATCCAGCAGTTACACATCGCATTCATTGAAGAATGGAGTCAAAACTGAAGAATTAAGATTAAGCGCAATTACTTTTATCGTTCGTCGTAAACCCACTACATCTGGTTCTACAGTATCCTTTAACAATGCGTTACGTATCCCTGTCAAACCTAACCCAGAACATAGAACTCCATCTGAATTAGCGAATTATTTGTAATTTCCATACAAGACTGAAATGATTAAAAAACTGCTTGTAGATTCCGTTTAAAGAAATACTTTAACACATGTGTTGTTTAATAAACACACTGAACTTTTCATTTGAGACAGAAAAATAGTGTACATTACCATCATTAGGCCAATTTGGACATTTGGAATAGAGTTTTGAAGCTCCAAGAAATCATACAATCCAGATTGTCCCATATCCAATTCTTATAATCCAAAATCCCTCGTAGAATCGTCAATGATTCCTATTTCCATGCAAATAATTGTATCACATATAAACGTATTATATATAATCATTAAATTTAATATATATAATAAATTTTAGGTTAAAATTAATTATTGTTTCAGGTCTCAGCAACTGATGTTGATGAAGGCATGAACGGCAGGATACGCTATTCCATCGTCGGAGGTGACGAGAACCGCGACTTTTCGATCGGTGAGGATTCAGGGGTTGTACGGGTGGCTAAAAACTTGAACTTCGAGCGCAAGTCTCGCTACGCCCTCACCGTCAGGGCAGAGGATTGCAGCCAGGATTCGGCCACTAAACACGATACAGCAGTGGTCACTGTGTCAGTTTCTGATATCAACGACAATCCTCCAACGTTCCTTGATTCTCCATACCTCGCCTACGTAATGGAAAATGTTCTGCCTCCTCCATCCGGCTACGTTATCAAGGTGTCCGCCTTCGACGCTGATACCCCACCATTCAATGGTCAAGTGCGATACTTCTTGAAAGAGGGCGATGGCGAACTTTTCAGAATCAACACCTTCACTGGAGAGATCTCTCTTCTCAAACCTCTAGACAGGGAGACTCAGGCGGAGTATACATTGTCACTAGTCGCAATGGATACAGGTAAGCCATTAGTTTAAGAAACATGAGTATATATAGTTTCATTTTTAAAAAATGAAGTATTATTTTATAATAGAGGTTCACAAGTATCTTAGATCATGCAGTTGGAAGTACATGTTCGATTTTCATTTGTGTCAGATAAAATATATTTTAGGGAGGACTATAGCATTGATTTTGTAATAAAAGTTCATCACTATAGATATTGTTCGGAATTTATAAATAAGCATTTAAGAATCTGAATTATCAGACTGTTCTCACCTAAACCAGAACAACTACGCGCAGCCTAGATTAAGAAACTGGTCAAGTAGTCGGTAAAGAAATCTATTATGCGTGTTACTTTAGCGAGGTGTAGTGTTCACATCCTTGAACAGGCGAAGTATAACATGAGAAACATGAGATCTCTCAAGAGAGAGCACCTCATTAGAACTGATACCTGCAGCTGTCCGATACAAAACTTTTCGCAACCGATTGATCGATAGTGTATTTTTGCATGATCGTGTTTGAGATCGAAAGACACTGGTTGTAAGGATTAAATGTTAGCGCCTTTCCTGTTTGAGATAATTAACTTAGATATATTGCTTTGTAAAGAAAATTGCGTAAAAGTTATGTAAAACTCCGAGTTAGAATGACACGTTGAACTCTGCACTTTAACCTCAACCCGGAGATTCACCAATCTTTCAGTAGTCTTCACTTTAGGAGAAAATAAAATATACTTGTTCTATCATGACTTCAGTAAGAAAAACAACATAAAAAATAGTAGAATTGGTCATTGGATAACGATTGCATAATATAATGACTTGGTAACATGTGAATAATTAACTCGAACCTTTTATTTTATGTAATGTTAGTGTATCACTTCGATCACCAGTAGTAAAAGATACAAATTGAAAGAGTGGTAAAGTGATGAATTTAGAAAAATGGGCCAGATTGTTGGATCAAACCACAGGCTGAATTTGAATTCATTAGTTTTATTCATTCAATTTTTGTAACTCCCATATTAAAAATGTTCCAATCTGATGTAAGAGTTTGTGAGTTTTGTTGGGAGTCTATTAAGTTTTAAAGGAGAGTTATAGAGGACGGATAGGAATCAATAAGAGAGGGCTACCTCAAGGGTACGCTCCTACTAATGATCTACTGATTGATTGTGTGTTTATTGTTTCCCAGCTCACTGTTTGTCAACTGTCAGCCACCAGGATGTGATTTATCTTTCCATCCACTGCGGTAGGAGACGTTGATTAATATTTTATCTTTATCCTCTTGTTGAAAAAAAAGTCTACAAAACATGGAATCTCATTGTCGTGGGAAAAAGTTATGTCGAATGATAAGTACCGGAAGGAAACCAAAAGATTAGAATATTTTATTCAGAAAACTCGCATAAGATGATAAATAATTTGATAGTGTGCTTTAAAATATTAGTTTCAGATTAATATAATAAAACATACTACTAGTTTTAGTAGTTTAGTATGGTATAGCAGTATTCAAAAGTCAACAAATAATCGATAAACACTAAATCACAAAAAATAGTTTTCGTTTATTATTTATAGTGAAGCAAGAAGGGAGGAGAAAATGCCTATTACCTGTGACCCACTCTCCCAAGTTTAATATTCAAGAATATCGTCCTTTCACTATCTTGTGTTGATAGACAACAAGCAAATATTTATTAAAAGGATTAAAAGTTCATTTAATGGTAGAAACTTCTTTTTCTTCTTCTTGGTCCTCTCTTTCACAGCGCAGTATGAGGTGCCGTTCGATAGAGCTTGATCCATGAATTTCGATCCTGTACCAGCGATTTCTTGATAGCTTCATAAGCTTCAGGAAGCTCTGACAAAAGATTCTAAGAAATCCGAGATATGTGCCCGAACCGCCTCAAGCGAAATTCTTCCAATATTTAATGGATGGGTCTGATATCGAGGCTCACTTTGATCGTGGAGTTTCTCACCCGGCCTCTTCTTGTCTTTTCCTCGACCTTCCTAAGATATTTCATTTCCATTGCATGGATCTGACGCTTGTGCATATTCGGGAGTGTCCGAGATTCTCTTGCATATGTCAGTAATGTGTTTTAGCTTTAGTTTCATGGTATGTTTTGAAACTTCATTATTTTCCTAGAAGTCAGTCTTCAGGGAATTGAAGCATCTTATTGCTTTCCTGGATCTCTACTTTATCTCGAAATCCACCGCTTTATACTTATTCAGGTGAGACTCAAGATACTCATAATCACTCACCTGTTCTATTTTCACTCCGTTAAGAATTAATTTTCTTTCCTTCCTATTTTCGAAAATTCGTTATTCTATAAATTGGTTACCATATTTATTTTCATTAGCTCTTCTTTGAGGTTTCTAGAACTCATCTCAAATACGACAAAGTCTTCAACAAATGTTACTTTAAAAGTGTTATGTTACTTTTAGGTGTTTTATTTTAAGAAAGGTCGAAACTGAACTAATTAAATATTATATATATATATATATATATATATATATATAAAATAAATATGCTACAAAATAAAGAGAAAATATAAATTCATTTATTGTTCACTTAGTAAACTGAATCACTAGTTTGAAAATGTTATAGATAGCCATTTCAACCATTTTTTCCCCTTCTGAGAAATAAACTATGAATACGTTAAATTCATCTAAGCGCGCGTACGCGATTAAAAAATATAGAAAATTATAGAAAAATATCAATAACCATCCAAAAAAGTGAGGCTACGTCAGTAAAATTGGGGATTTCTTTCAAATTGTTATACAACAAAATTATATAAATCAAATGCACATGGGCATTATCAAAGATCCGTGATTCAAGGAACCTATGATGGAAGATGGGAATTGCCACATTCCGTCCCCCATAATTTTTGTTGAGCCTGAATTTACTTTTTTATTACAATCCAATTAGAATTTCTAAAATAATCAAACACATAAAGTGAACACATCGTATCTCTCACTTCTACAGCTGAGGATTTGAGTAAAAGGATTTGAGTAAAAATTTTTAAATCCATTATTTAAAAAAAAAGGTGTTTATAAATTAAAATTGTAAAACATTAGTATGAATTTAGGTCTAAAAATATAAAGAGCAAGTTGTCTTCTAAATATTTCAAATCATATAAAAGCTGATTCCGAACGAAATCAAATATTCTCCATAACAATAGGAGAGATATCATAAAATACTAAAAACTAATCCAATTCAAATCAACTGAAATAATAAAAGGAGGGATGATACAGAAGGCAGTAAATCACAATCAGGCTCGCAAGAGGATGTGACAAGAGACTGTGCCCACGGACCCTACATCACATAATTTTGTGACAATTGTGAAATACGGCGGAAGTCGTATATTTTACGATTAACTCGATGTTATGCAGGACAGAAAGAGGAAACCTTCTCTCATTCCAGTACTCATAGAGCGCAAACCATGCTCATATTTATTCTACCTCCCCTTGGCGATGAAACAAAAACATTCACTGTCATTGCAAAGTCCAGTGCTGCCGGATTAGCAATGCAAATTACTTTCTGCTTCATTATATATTAACGATACGTAGGAAAAACACCGCAAATTTCTCCGTGATTTTACGAGTATCAACTAATACGTGAGTCAGACGGAATACAACAGAGAAAAAAATATCTACCATTTTTCATACTTAACAATGGCATTGAGGCGGTTGAAAATAGTATAATAAGGAAATAGTTATACGAAATGTACTGATAGTAAATTAAAATAAAAATCATGGAAGTATTTCAATCCGACGTATGTGAATTAATTTGCATCCGAATGTGCGTAAGATTAAAATAGATGTTTTCATGTTTAAATGACAAGTCCCGACTGATAATATCGTAAATAACCATCGTAAAGATAACTATTAGTCTTATACAATCCAGTGCATACTTTATTAATTGGACAATTTAAATCTAATGCTGATTGATAGAAATATATACATGCGTCAACTATATCTACATAGCTAAGAATGTGGTGATCATAGAAACGTAATTTTTCCATATCCGTTCATAAGTAGTTTTTACATTTTTTAAACCGGTTTTATATTTTATGAGACAGTGTATAAATTAATTAACTTTTTTATTTTCATTTTAATAAACTAAGTTGAAATATTAATTTAATATGACAATAACTTATGGACTAACTACTCATTCGTATGACGGCACATAAAGTCAAGTGTTACTTAATAAATTACTTTTGTTAGCTTGCTCAACACAGGCAGATCTACGGTGGAGGGGGAGGAGGGCTTTCAGGGTGAACACCCTCCCCTCGTGAACACTCTCCCCCCCCCCCCAAAAAATGGTAAAATATGACCTTGTTTTATGGAAAAAATTATCTGTTAAAGTATTATTGTTCGTGTAATTAAATACGAAATACATTTAATACGACATTAAAAATCACTTAAACACCATTTCATATAGGTTTCTTTTCTTCAGTTAGTTTAATTTTTTTTTTACAATGTAATTATCGTTATACGTTTCGAGCTGAAGTCGACCTTCCCCCCTCAAAAAAAAATTTAAATCCCGGATCCGCTAGTTGGAAGTAGAGAAACCGTGTATTCGTACGGAAGGTTAAACAAGTGTTCCTTCTCAAATTAAAATGGTTCGAAACATTTTAAAGATAAGGAAATCAATTTGTTTCCATGGCTGTAATCAAACCTATTTATCAGGCTATTATCTTTAAACTTTATTTTCATGAACTTTTAATGTATTGTGCGGGTTTTGTACGTAGGTTAATCCCTTATCAATCATATCCCATGAATGACTTTTTCTTACGCACGATATTACTACTCGGTAAATATTAACCTAGTAAACAACAAAAGTACACTAATCCCACTTAAAATTTCTGAAATAATAAAAATATTATTGTAAAAGGGTATTATAAATGACCCAATATATACCCAAATTATCCATGAGGCCCTTATATCTAAAAATCCCACGTTCGATTTGTCCCGAAGGTGAATTTTATTTATAAATTAAAAATCATAGATCTTGGAATATTGATGATGATGTAACCAATCGAAATCGTGATAAAGTTATGTTGATGTGTCAAATAGTGTGATATTTGAACTAGGACGTCACACTTCTATCATATTGTTCCAGTTAAACTGGAACGCAACTCATAACGTCAAATCTTCTCTTTTTATTGTAACTTTTCACAACAAATGATCGATTGTATCTAACCCAATACCGTGTGATATCCGATGTTCTCTCTTTTAGAACCTCAACTATGGTCATCTAGTATTTTAGGCAGTACTCTTTATTTTCTCAAAGAAGTTTGAGGAATCTCTACTTTTATGGCTTCCTGATCAGATTTTTAATACACCCACCAACTATTTCCTACAGCTATACCAATCAACCCTGTGATCTATGTAAGGAAGAACGTAACATATTTGTTGCATTCGATATTTGGTTGAATTTTAAGTTAAGCATTAAGAAGACCGTTTATATCATTAACATTTATCTTTAATTCATAAAACCTAGTGTTGCCCAAATG